TTGTACTACCATCTGCCTTTGCCTTGTGCCCTTCATTTTGCTATTTCCTGCTTTGCTTATTCTTGATACAATCTGGATTTGATTCCTCAAAAGGTCATGCTAAATGAATTTGTTAGGATTAAATAAAATGGCTATTCCCAATGACAGTAGACCCACTGAATCAATTGTCAAATGGTAATCCACACTTACTTAAATCCTGTTGATTGAGAGGGGCTACTCTAGTTAGGATACTGAAGATTGGATTTAGGCATTACCGTTTAAGGTGCGTGCCATCAGATTGTTGTTTTTGTTACAACTGCAAAAACGTCACCTTTAGAAATTTAACTTAGGTTGGAATATGGTTTCAGGGTTGGTTTTTTGTTCCATAGGATGTTACCCTTTAGCAGAAGAGTACAAATGCAGAAGGTTTTTGCCATTGTGCAGCAAGGTGGATAGAGTCTAATAATATTCTGCAAGTTACCCCTTCGTAGTAGATGTAACCATTGCACCTGTATTTGCATCTGACTTCTCCTTTTTCCTTAGATGATGCTGTATCTGTCATTCCCTGTTGCTATGTTCTGGATTTCAAACCAGGCAGAGTATTTTGAAGAATATGTAATAAAACGGAAGGTTAGTATTCTGCAGTTAGAAAACTGTGTGGACGACAATAGTGATTTCCATATTTTCCTATGTAGATTTTCCCCTTTCCATTTTAAAATACTAGTGTTGATTTCAGTTTTGCAATTGAAGTAGAAAAAAATATTATGTTAATTGCATTTTCCTTGAAACCCATTCTTGGAGTCTGGCTTTGACAAGGGAGAGGTGTTCAACTGTGGCATTGCCCAGAATATAATTTTGACCTTGGTTCTTGTTCACCATTTAGCAGGAATATTGGCCTGTTACGTTAGAATAACCAAGAAGTTAAGAAATACCAGGAAGTGGGAACTGCAACAAAATGTTGTAGTGGACCCTCTCCCAAATGGTATACTTCTCTTCAGGATTCCAGCCATTCTGTCCAGGCTGGGTATTTAACTCCTGTGTCTCCCTTTTGTGTTCCAACTGACATTCATATTCTATGGCTAATGAGAATACCAAGTCTTCATTGTGCTGTTTTTAGTTTGTTTGTTTTTTCTTCTACCTCTTAAGTGTCCCCCCCCCCCCCCCCCCCCGCTTTATTGGGTTGCTTTCGAGATATATGTTCTACTAGTGCAAACTTGATGCTGATACTTCCCTCTTATTTCTCTGAGTAGCCACAGTCCTAAGTTTGCTCTTAGGAATAAGAATAAAATTGTCTTAGCATGGGAGTCAGAATGTCTGTGTTCTGTTTGAGGAAATAGTTCATCTCACTAAAGCAGTGGTCCCCAAACTGTTATCTTTAAGGGATTTTGGACTTCAGCTTCCAGAATCCCAGACTATTGGCCAACATGGCTCAGGCTTCTGGGAGCTGAAGTCCAAAATCTCTTGAAAGGCCAATAGTCTGGGTCTGGGATGTTGGCCAGTAGTCTGGGATTCTGGGAGCTGAAGTCCCTCGGCCCTTAAAGGGGACAGTTTGCCTACCCCTGGACCCTAAAGGATGCTCTTTCCATATGTTCAACTTTCCACATAGACACTGTATTTTTAGTTCATACTGCCTGTCAAACTGCTACAATCCTCATTGACAGAATCAACTCTAGCGCTAACCAACATGTCAGCAAATATGGAAAACAAAACAGTGACCAACAGACTGGAAACATTCAATATACATCCCAATTCACAAGAAAGAAGACACAAAAGATTGCAGCAACTATAGGACCATAGCATTAATTTCCCATGCAAGCAAAATTATTCTCAGAATTCTGCAACACAGACTCCACCATACATGGAGAGAAAAATCCCAGAGGTCCAAGCAGGTTTCAGAAAAGGAAGAGGTACTAGGGACCACATTGCAAACATATGATAGCTAATGGAGCGCATCAAAGAATTCCAAAAGAAGATCAGAACGTGTTTTATAGACTATAGCAAAACCTTTGATTGCATAGATCATGAAAAGCTATGGAATGCCCTTAAAGACATGGGAGTGCCAATACATCTGATAGTCCTGATGAGAAATCTGTAGTTAGGACACAAGACTACTGTTAGAACAGAATATGGAGAAACAGAATGGTTCCCAATTGGCAAAGGAGTCAGGCCAGGCTGCATCCTTTCATCCTATCTGTTCAGTATGTATGCAAAAAATATACAAAGAGCAGGCTTGGATACAGAAACACGAGGAGTGAACACAGGAGGAATGAATATCAATAATCTGAGATATGCAGATGACACCATACTACTAGCAGAAGATATCACACACTTGGAATGACTACTAAAAAAGATCAAAGAAAAAATTGCAAAGGCAGGCTTACTGCTCAGCATAAAGAAAACAAAAATAATGACCACGGAAAATCTACAGAGATTCAATCTAGACAATGAGGAAATTGAAATAGTAAGAGTTCCCATACCTTGGGTCAGAAATTGATCAGAATAGGGACTGCGGTCAAGAAATAATAAAAAGACTAGGAATGGAGATGGCAGCTATGAAAGAATTAGAAAAGATCCTAAAATGTAAAGATATGCACCTGAGCATGAAAGTTAGAATCGTACGAGCCATTGTTTTCCCTAATACCATGTATGGATGTGAAAGCTGGACAGTATGGAAGGTGAATAGGAGGAAAAGCAATTAATTTGAGATGTGGTGCTGGAGAGGGGTGGTGAGGATACCATGGATGGCCAAAGACAAACAATTGGGTTCTAGAACAGATAAAGCCTGAAATCTCCCTGGAAACCAAGCTGATAAAGTTGAGGCTGTTGTATTTTGGTTACGTCATGAGAAAGAATGACTCATTGGAAAAGACAATAATGCTGGGAAAGGTGGAGGAATGTAGAAAATGAGGAAGACTGCATGCTAGATGGATGGACTCTGTTAAGGAGCTCATGAGTATGAATTTAACTAAGCAGGTCACCGTGAGTTGGGATTGACTTGAGGGCAGTTAACAACAACAACAACAAACTGCCTGTCTTATGTAGGACCTTAAATGATAGGCTGATTAAATGTAGAAAGTCCCTCCAGTTGCCGTGGATTAATCTGTTGAATGTAAACTATGGCTTGCATAAGTTTACATGCTATAATTAAATGATTTTCTTCTTCATCCTTTTCCCACAGAGGGAGATCTATCCACCGGAAGATGATTACCAGGTAAACATGCCCCAGCTATGAATAGCATTATTGTATATCTAAGAGAACAGGTTTCTTGCTGGTGGAATTGACACTTATGTCTTTGCCAGAGAAAAGAGCTGGAAGACTTCAAAGAGCGCATGAGGAAGAAGCGGGAAGAGCGGCTACTGCAGATGGCAAAAGAGTAATGGTGCAGCCTATTCTATCTACATTTTTAAGCACTCTCAAGAAAGTTGCCATCACTAGTGTCCTTTTAACTTTAAATCGATTTCTGCTATTCCTAAAGACTGTGGATGATGGAATGAAGGGACTTGCCATACAGTTCTACATTGTATATTTCCTAGCAGAGATTCTGTATGTGTCTGTTAGTGCCTTAAGGCACTTCTGTACTTAAATTGGGGAGGGGGAGGAATGACAAGGATTAGAGTCAACTGTTTCGGTCATGTTGCTCTGACTCTTGCCATGTGTATCTGTTGAACCTTTGCCTCAGTTTGGCAGTTATCTCATGTGAGTCACTGAATAAAAGCACTATTTAAGAAGACTGAAACAATGCACATCCTGGTGTTTTCTGAAGTGCACATTGTGTTTACTTGTATTAGCAGATAAATAATAGTCAACTGGTATTTCAGCCACTAACAGGAGACCAGCCACATCTCTTGCCATCTCTATCGCCCCAACCAAGTAAAGGCCTAAGCAGACTGCCAGAAATAGTGCACATTAAATTGAGGCACTGCCCTGGCTCAGTGCTAGGGACTCATGGGAATTGTATTTTTTTCTGGGACATTGAGCATTCTCTGTCAGAGAGCTCTGGTGCCACAATAAATTACAGTTCCCATGATTCCCTAGCACAGCCAGAGCAGTGCCTCAATTTAATGTGTACTATTTCTGGCAGTCTGCTTAGGCCCTAAGTTACCAGCATAGCAACTAGAAGCTCATCCTTCTCTCTGAGTTGTACCTCATAACTATAGCGGTGGGTTTGGATAAAATGGAATGAATGGTAGCACAGTTGGGAGAAAAATAAACCTTTTAGGGATTTGTGGTAATTTTTAATTTTGTTCATTAATGATCTGGAGATGTGCATGAGTAATGACATGGCCAGGATAGATTATGACACTGTTAAAGACATTTACGATAAAAATGCATTTCAATAGTTCTAAAAGGATCCCTCTAAACTGGGCAGTTTGGTTGTTAAATGGCAAATGAGATTCAGTATAAGCAAATGCAAAGGGTCACCCCGTATTGGGGTGAAAAATAAAATCAACTTCACATATACACTGATGGAATGTGAAGTGACAGTGACTGACCAAGAGAAAAATCTTACAATTGTGGTAGATTGCTTGATGAAATGAAACCAAATGCACAGTTGCTGCTTAAAAAAAGGGTAATCTGATGTTGATTCATAATCTTAATTAGAAAGGGCACAGGATATAAAACTTGCTGTTGTGTGCCTTCAAGTCATTTCTAATTAATGGCAATCCTATAGCATGCCTATAATCATCTGGAGGGAGAGAGGGCAGGCCGGCTCCATCAGGCCTAGCCTGAAAAGAAGAAGGCCCTCCTTCCATCCACCATCATCTGGAGGGAGAGAAGGCAGAATGCGTGCTGTCTTAATCTTATTATGTGTATTTCAAAATTGTATTTATTTTATATTTGTAAACCACCTAAGCTTAAGCAAAAGGCGGGATATAAGAATATTATTATTATTATTATTATTATTATTATTATTATTATTATTATTATTTATTGAGTTTTCTTGGCAAGATTTGTTCAGACAGGATTTGCCTTTCTCTGAGAGAATGTGACTTGCTCAAGGTTACCCAATGGGTTTCCATGGTTGAGCAGGGATTCGAACCCTGGTCTCCAGAGTCCTGGTGCAATGCTAAAACCACTACATCAGTGGTACTTAAACTTTTTTACCCTTGGGACCCCAATTACATCTACATGCAGAAGTTGTGCCCCTGCCCTCGACGTAGTATATGAATAAAAATATTTTGTTTACTTAGTGCCCATATTTTCACTTGCACATTCATGTGTATTCATACCTTAATTTTATAAGGAAATAACATTCAAATCAGAACAGTTTTATTTAAGTAAATAAAATGTTTAACTTGCCATGTGTAAATTTTATATATAAAAAAGTTTGGGAAGAGGAAGAGGAGGGATCAGGGCCTCCAGGTCTTGAGCAACTCTCATGTCCCCCCTGGGGTCCCACCCCACTGTTTGAGAACCACTGCACTACACCAAGCTGGCTCTCAAAAATAAAACTACCGGTTGCATGCTGCCCTTATGCAAATCTATTTCTGCATTTGGAATACTCTGAACTTTGGTTACCACACCTGAAAAGATATAGTGTAGAACAAGAAGACAGTGTACAATAGGGCAGTCCATATGATCATCTGAAGCAACTATCCTATGAGAAAAAGTTAATTTTTTGTGTTATTTAAAGGAGAAAAACACCCAGTATGAGGAGACATTGAAGTGTATCAAACTATGGATGAGGCAAAGGAAGTGGCTAATAGTAGAACCCACAGCCACTCCTTGAAGCTGAATAATGGGATCTACAGGACAAAAGGATGGAGTTATTCACACCATAAATGGTGTGATTCACTGCTACAAAGTAGTGATGGCTCTCTACTTTAAGAGTTTTGAAAAAGGAGATGGAATAAATTGTTGGAGAACATGGCTATCAATGGTTACAAGTCATGATGGATGCACATCTCTAGTACCAGCAACAATAATTTTCACTAAATCAGTTGCTAGGAAGCATGAACAGGTAATACTGTGGTATTCCTGTCAAACTTGTGAGTTTCTCATGAACGGCTGGCTGATCACTGAGAAGAGAATACGGTACTAGATTAGTACTGGTCTGACTCAATACAGTTTGTTGAATTTTGATTATATGCTCACTTGCCCGTTTTAGGCTGAAGTTCAGATTATTTTATCAAGCTACAAAAAGTATGTGAGTTTTCTCTTATTGAAAGGTGATGCCTAGAACTAATTTGTGGATAGCGATGGCTACATTATTAACTTGATGTCAAGGAGGTGTGAGAGGGTACAAGAATATTTTGAGTGACCATAAATGTCTTATTTTTAAAGTGATTAGTTGCTTGGTAGGCATGCTTCTTCATTTCCAAGGTGAGGTCTTTAGCTACATGGTTCTGCTAGTTTGATTTGGTATATAGAAGAGAGCCAGCATGGTGTAGTTTTGAACATTAGACTTAGACTGTGGACCACAGTTTGAATCCCCACTCGGCCAATCTATGACTTTGGGCAAACCACACTCTCAGCCTCATAGGAAGGCAAAGGCAAACTCCCTCTGAAGAAATCTTGCCAAGAAAAACCCCATGATTGGTTCACTTTAGGGTCACCTAAAGTCAGAAAGGATTTGAAGGCACACAACAACAACAAAACAGACAATTCATCTGTGGAGAGTCTTTGGTGTTGTGGTGTTGGTGTATAATCCTCTTCCCATCATCTACCATACGGCAGCTTTGCAACTCTGGATGTTTGTAGAATTTCTTTTAAAGAAGGAAGATTAATCGATAAACATCTGTGTAGCACTTTGAAAAGGAGAAAACACTTAAAATTGTGGACGGCTTCCTGGAAGCATGAAATAAAAAAGGCAATACCAAGGGCTTAACTGACCTTTGATTCATTAGAATTAATATCTGCCATGGACATTATGAAGCCAAATATTTCATACTTTTAGATTAAGAACTAGCTGTGATATGTCTTCTTTATAATTTGCCTGTTCCATTTTTGTCTTTTATGTGATTCTGTGTATTTCTGTTAATAAATCAGTTCTGTTTGTTCAACTGGACTTATTCTTGGTCTGAGAAATTCACAGTTCGTGCAGTACTTCTGTCCAGCTACCAGATGCATTGAACTAGATTTCAGTTCTCAAAATCAAAATTTAAAAGAGTATTTTCTGGGATTATGTTAAGTAAGACATTATCTTATCACACAAATAACCACCTGTTGTATTTATGATTCTAAGAAACCTTTTATTTTAATTGTACATTGAAACAGAGTTTGCCAAGGGTAGTCCTTAGGGAGGGTAGAAACACTGGTCTAAAATGTAAATGTGTATATAGAAATACTGGGTCTTTTATGGTAGAGCTACATATATTCCATGGGTAAGCAATACTAGGACCTTATGGATCTGGAAAACCAGATGCATGCTTATGTCTAAGGGCAGCACTTCTTGGAGGGAAGTCACGGCATGATAACTTTGGATTAGAGCTTGGAAAAATTACTTTTTCAGCTTACTCCCAAAATGTCCCAGTCTGCATTTTTGATGAGGGATTCTGGGAGTTACAGCCCAAAAAGCAACGTTTCCAAGTTCTGAGGAGGCATAGAGGGTGGCTCATTACTTAATTGTTGCTTTATTTTTGGACTAGAACTTCTAGACTCCCCCTGACATCATGGCCAGAGAATTCTGGAAGTTGGAGTCAAAGTAACTTTGCAGCTCTGCTTTTAACAAAAGCAAGAGAAGATGGAATTGTAAGAAATCAAGTATATTTTGGGAGATGTCTTCAGTTAGAAAAAGTGTTTGTAAATGTAATCTCTAGCTTTGGGTTGGTGAAAATATGAGGTTTAAACCAAGGATGCTAGATTTGGCGAAGAAAGTTTTGCAGAGCTAGGTCTTTAGGAAGAAGTGCTAGGATCCGGTGCATTGGCATGTTTGGGGTTTGGACTTTTTAACTGGCCTGTAATGGCTTCCAAATGCTTCTCATGGATACGGTTGATGAAAGAGAAATAATCATCCATTGGTGTGATGGTGACATGTGGAATATCCGAAGCTGCACTTTCTGGTAAAGCCAAGCTCATGCTCTCCTGTTGAAGGAAACAGAAAGGTCAGTTGTATCATCTAGTATTTAATGCCAGGTCATTCTGATATCCTAAAACGGGTAGGCAACCTTTCCCCTTTAAGGGCTGAGGGACTTCAGCTCCCAGAAGCCTCAGCCATGTTGGCCAATAGTACCATGTTGGCCAATAGCTCCTGGGATTCTGGGAGCTGAAGTCCCTTGGCCCTTAAAGGGGAAAGGTTGCCTACCCCTGTCCTAAAAGGTCTATTGCACATAGCTTATGCTATGTTATACATCAGCATCCTGATCCCAGCAGTGCTACGCTGTACACAGCCTCTTGTTTCCCACCCTAGTGACCAGCACCAAGCATCACCTACCCTTTGTGGGAATCCCTTCAGGACACACTTATGTACAGATAGCTCTTGGCAGTGGGTTGAAAACAGAATTACAAGGCTTCGTACCATCTGGTCTATAAGTTGCTATTGCATCAGAGGCATTTGGAAATGGTGTGCCAGTCATAAAATTAAAGGACATGTTTAATGAAAGATGCTTGGGAGATTCAAGTTTTGATAATGAAGACAACACCGGAAGCATGGAATGAAAGCTTCACTTGGTTTGTACTTTCAAAGAAAGCTTTTTAATGCACTTATTACTGAGATATGAGGTTAGTGTTCAGTCTACAAAATTTTATTTGCTGCAATAACATTGATTGCTGAATAATGAGATATCATGTATCTTCTTGGCCCTTTGCCTGTGATAATATCTAGGAACAGATTGTTTCAGTCTGGTATCAGCTAGGAGAAGGTGAAATAATTGCATGCTATGTCTTTAAACAGAATATCAACAAGAAGATTTAATTTATTTGTAACTTTAAATGGCCTTTAGTCTGTGTTGGCTATAGATATGATAGGAGGTAACAGTCCTCCCTCTATTAATCTCACCACCTCATAAGATGTACCCACCTCTTATTTCTGTTTGCAGCTGAATGTTTCCCCCCAGATATTAATTGTATTCTTTTAATTTCCAAAATAGGAATTTTAATTAATGTTTTTTAGGTCTAACAAGCTATGTGTGTGTATGCTTTGAAGTCATTTCTGACTTATGGCAACCCTCTTAACAGGTTTTCTCGGTAAGATTTGTTCAGAGGAGGATTGCCATTGCCTTCCTCTGAAGATGATACAGTGTGGCTTGCCCAAAGTCACGCATTGGGTTTACATGGCTGAGTGGGGATTCGAATCCTGATCACCAGAGCTGTAGTCCAGAGCTCAAACTGTTACAGGATGCTGACTCTCAACAACAACAGCAACAAAATTACACTTACCCTGTATGCTATTAAATAAAGTTGAAATATTTAAGCTGAATATGAGGTATGTGCTATGAGTACTGTGCTGCTGCTGAGGTTTCAGTAGCTCTCTGGTCAGATTGTTGCTGCTTTCCAGTTCCCTGTGCCAGGGATGGTTTGGGGTTTGCTGGAGAATGCCCTGAAACAACATTGTTTTAAAGCAGACCTGCACAACTTGGCAGTAGGAAGGGACCAAAATTAAAATAGGCTAAACTTATTTGGGCTGCAGATAGGTTTTAATTAAACATTTATTAAGTAATTAATAATTATTAATAATTAATATTAATTAGTATTAATTCTTTCCTCCTCCCCCTCCTCTGCCTGGCCAGCTCTGCAGGAGGTGGAGGAGCCTTGCCCTTCCTTCTCTTCTTCCATTTGGACTTCTCGGGAGAAAGTCGAGCAACTGAGGAGCCATGTGGGGCAAGCATTTGCCCCTCTTCCTCCTCCACTGCCCTCAGGAGAAAGTCAGACAGAGGAGCCTTGTAGAGCGAGCATGAGGAGGGAGGACAGATGGACTCTATTAAGGAGGTCACGGGTATTAAGGGGTTGCAGGAATTAAGCAGCGCAATGGAGGACAGGGGGTCTTGGAGAGGTCTCATCCATAGGGTCGCCATGAGTCAAGATCGACTTGAGGGCAGTTAACAACAATAACAAAACAGTAAATGCCATAAGCTGTTTTGGAAATGGTTAATTATCGGAAGCAGGCTTTTAAAAATATGCATTATAAATTATACATGCTGTAAACAGCACACCAGGGAG